GGGGTTGATTGGATGTAAAACCAAGAGAAAAACCACCCTTGTTTCGTCAACACCAAGAATAGTACCAAACATTAAAATTTTAAAAACAATTTCTATAATTAATAACTGCCTTGGCAACAAAATCACATGTGACTATTTTTTTTTCTAAGGTCAACAGTATTGCAACCTAGCCTGGCTATCTTCGAGGCTGGAAGAAACTTAGCTCACATTTATAGTCAGTGTCCGCCAATAGCATCCCTCTTTAATTTACAGCTGCAGCAATGTGTAAACGAGATCATGCAATATATATCCAAGTCACAGTCTTATTCTCCATTGTAGTTATGATTATGTCGCCCCCTTAGGAGCTCCATTCTAGTCTGTGGATTGATAGTTTTGCTGACTAAACCCAACAATGAGTCAGGCCTCAGACAATTTATTATGCATAGTGGCCTCAGACAATTTATTAGGCCATTAGTGGATTTGCAGTGACATTTAGCTGTCAACTAAAACAGTCCAGTGGGGGTACAAAATTCATAACTACAGCAGGCCCAGCTAAATGGGTTGGATTTATATATGAGGTATGTTTTTACCCATCCTGTAAGAAATTTGCATACCAATGGTTGGAAGCCGAAATCTTCTGCTGCCAACAAATTAACCTGGTTTGGTCTAGGCTAGGTATGAATTGCATGAAGAATTCAAATCAGACCACCAAAAAAAAAAATGTTAAACATAAGTGATTCATTGACATAAAACAGAAAACATCAAAATTGAAATTGAAATTGGATGTTCTTCTATTTCAGGCTTAAATAATTCAAGTATTTGCCAATAAGGAGTTGGGTTCTTTATTATCCAGCAGAAAGGGCTGTTTTTTCTGGGGTAGTAACAGTTGTCCTGTCTCCCATTTCCCTTAATGGAACAACACCATTTGCTGTTGCAGCCACATCTATCTGGGACTCCACTTCCTCTTGGAACTTCTTGTAGATATCACCTTTGTAAAATGTTCTTGTCCGAAACACCAAAATCAATGAAACAATACTCCCGAACAAGCTAGCTGCCGTGATGATTAGAAAAGCCAATCTGTAACATATAGCCCCACTGCAGGTCAAGTCCTGTCCTGGTTTCCTACCAAGTCCCAAAGCTTCCATTTGCTTCAAAGCTTCCTTATCATATAAATGACCAGCCACTCTCACATTGAAAATGTAAGATCCAACTGGGCTTGAAACAGATCCAACATTGTACATTGTAGAGTAGTGTTTAAGACCAAAGAGTTCAGATATAATGGCACACAGTAAAGGCAATTGTGCTCCTAGGCAAAATCCTGTCATTACTGAAGCAAAATAAAGAGAATTGGGAACTGCAAAGGCAATCAAAAGATGTCCAACACAAGACAAAAGAATCACGAAAGTGAGCATTAGGGGACGAGGGAAGTTGTACTTTGTCAAGACAATTTCAGATAAATAACCAGCCAGGACTCGTCCAAGGAAATTCCATATGCTTACTAGTGATATAAATGTGGATATGCTATGAGTCGGATAGCCCAATGATTTACCAAGTTGTCCCAGATTGTCAAAAACTGTTAATGCCCCTCCAGTGCCACAAGCTGTTGCAATAAAGAGAATTAGCATGTCAGTGCTAAAAATTGCTTGAAGAATGGTGTAGTCCTCCCCTCTCTCTGGTGGCTTGAAAATGTTTTTAATACAAGCAAACGGCTCCTTTGTTGTTTCTGCTGGCCTTTCTGGAACTGCTAGAGGATTTTGAGTCACAACATTCAATTGGGAATGAGTATTTGAAGCTTTTTTTTTGCTGGTCCAAACACTATATTCTTCTTTTATTACAATAACAAGCGGGAGATGTAGTAAAATAAGAACAAGAGAAGCACTTCCAATATACTCCATCCTGGTAAACCTGACCTCGTTTTGCAAAATAATCATGACCATGATAAATCCAGCAAGTCCAAGAGAAATGTAGAGGAATCTGTAAAAAACTTTGAGCTCTCTCACAATCGGAACAACTTTCATAGTCCGAATTGTTCGAAGAAAAATTAGGGGAACAATGGTTGGAAGCCAAGCAAGCAGCAAGATTAGGGCCTTTGTATCACCTCTATAAAATGCATGGTAGTACTGAGTCATGATTGCACCACTTAAACCAATAAACCCCTTCAAAAGGCCTAAGATGCTGCCTCTGCTTTCAGGGAAGTTCTTAACACATGTGACTAATGCACCTGTGTTTGGAAATGACTGTGAATTTGCAGCTATCCACATATATAAACACATCTGCCATACTTGGGGTTTGGCTGTGCGGCCAGTGACGGATAGCCATATCATAACATACCCAAAGAAATTCATTACCGAACCAATGGAAAGAACCACCCATGGTGGCACAACTTCGTAGATGAGCCCTGACAAGATTCCAAGATTACCACCCAAGTCCTTGAAGAAACTTAGCAAATTGAGGGTTGTTTGATCATAACCCAATGTTGATTTAATGTCATTAGAATATAGACCAAACATGTAACCTGAACCATTGACAGACATAATAATTAGTGTGGCAAAAACCATGAAAAATCTGCTGGAAAGTACATCCAAGACAAAGCTCTTCATCCCCCTCTCCCTCCAACTACCGTCATCAGTTTTTTCATTTAGGACCATTTTCTTACTTCAGTATAAGCAGTCTCCACTACAGAGCTTTGGCACCCCCGATTACAGTCCACATTTGAAGACATAATTGAATGAACAGCTTTGGCATGTTTTGGAGATCAAGTCACTTGGAAACCGTTTTGTCGTAGATTGTTTGTATCGTACTAATTGGTGGAACATCCTTGGATTTTATGTTTCAAGAGAATCAAATTCTTGTTTCATCTTGTGGGTCAGCGCAATTGAAAACTTTAGCTCCTAAAAATATGTTTCTCTTCCCATCAAACACAAGTAATCTCCATTTCCAAGCACTTTGCATAGTTGATTTGTTTCAATTAAGAAGCTATCAAGACAAGTCAGATTCTTATCGTTTCATTCAAATTAATGTAAAGTATCCCAAATATTGAAGTTAATTTATAATCCAATTGTTAATATATAATTAATTAATCGATTAATCTTATTATAATCTTTGAGTTAGACAAATATAACACCTCAAACTTTACCAAAACTATACTTTGATATGGTTGGAACTTGGGAGCCCAAAAGACTTCCTGTCATTTTTATTTTTTACCATTAAAATGATAAGCTCATTTCAAGTGTAATCTTAGCCCAAATCCAATCTAAACAGAGCTCGATTAAGTAAATTGTATTCTTATTGGTCATAAACTTTGACCTCTCTCTTTTTTTTTTTTTTCACCTATAAGTAAATTCAATTTGAAAATTAAAAAAATTTATTGAGCAATTTAAGTGTATCAACCATAACTTAAACAATTCATAAAATAGACAGCCCTGATCTCTATCTTTTTTTTTTTTTTATCTTTTTAAATTTTGATCTCTATTTTGGATCATAAGCAAAAAGAAAAAAAAAAAGTGGGAGGCTGATGTTTTGATTTCAGCATTTTAATGCCGGCTGACATTGTATGTTTTCTCTGATATCACTCCACTTTTTAATAAGGCTTGAGGTCAAGAAAAAGACCTTACACCTAATATAAATATCTAGTTTGTTATATCCACTTGGTATTGTATTACCAAGTTTGATTCGTCAAATTAAATATAAAATCCTTTGGCCAAAAAAAATGGCACAAAATTCTCAAAATAAGCCTTTTTCTTATTAATTTTTTAGTCTAAAACCAACGTTTTTATTTGAACAAAAAAAAATTTTTGTTTAATTAAAATAAGTTATGCACTCTCAAAAGGTTACAATTCACCTCTTTTCTCTTTGATTATCAAATTAACATTTTATCACTGGACTGATTCATTGATAGATAAGTTTCATTCAATAAAAAAATGGAATTTTGAAAGTGCAATCCTGCAGCAGTCCAATTTAGAAATAGTTACGACTTTATATATATAGGACCCCAATTTTGTAGGGAAGTGATCATCACAATCAATTAAGACTTTAACAAAATAAATGTCATCTATTCATTGAAAGTAATGCTACCAACCAAGATTAATTTGTCGTGATTGTTCACGATGAAGAATGTGTAAGATAAAGATTTGTGTCCTACTATATTGCTTTGGTCGCCTGAGTATGGAGACCACATTATTATCTTATATAAGCGCCAATTTGCATTCTGAACTCCTACTCCTAGGCCTGAATTCGATATTCATATGCAAAGATTTATGTCCATAATGTTTTGTGCCCAATATGTTATAATTTACAACAATAGAGTGGTTGAATTTGATTTCTTCACCGTATATTAAAAAATATATATAATTATTGTAATATCGTATTAAAATTTTATTATTATTTATGAGAGACTAAACATACAAAAGAACGTATAAATTAAAATTTTAATTTTTTATTCATCAATAATTATGATCTTTTAAGTGAATATATGTCAAAATATATTTAAAAAAATTTCCTAAAACTATCCTTTTTTTTAATGGACAAATTAATTTTTTATAAGAAAATTACAACTTAAAAATAAAAAAATGGGTTAAAGAATTGAAATTTAAACTTTATATACATTATATGAATAAATTGAATCAAACTAAAAAAAATAGTTTTCTCTTGCAATGATCACCAAACGAAACAGCCAAAGACAACCTTAAAATGCGACATTAAACTTTCACTTGAATCTATGCCAAAATTTATTATAGAAAGCAACTATCTTTTCTTTCCTCTTCAATGGTTAAAAGATTTTCCTAGTATGATAATTCCAATCAAACACCAGAGGAAACAGCTAGGACTACAAAACAAGGGAGTTGACAGTTGAGATGGTGTAGCAAAGAATGAGGGAAAATTTAAAAAGCCTTAATTATTAGTCACACTATTATTATTATTTTGTTCTTTTTACCGTCCCAATTCTCACGACGTTATGACAGTTACTAGCCACCATGGAAACTGGGGACTTGTTTCGTGTCTTAAACGGCTATGATGGGATGACCTGTCCTTAGATCGGTCACTCCGAATCAATCTTCATCCATTTGTCTCACTCTCACTTTGAAGTATCTCTTCAGGCCCCACTGTTCTTTTCAGGCGCCAACGATTGCCGGCCCCTCTGATTATAAATTTGTCTCTCTTGGCCTCCTTTTAGGCTCTCACTAGTCACTATTGCTATCATCCTCCAAGCTTGTCTTAATTTCTGTTAACTTTGACATTTGGGAAATCACAGAAACTATAGTAGGAACCTTGCTATAGGCAGTTATGGCGGATCCTGGAAAGATGGAAGAAGGGCTAGTTCATGTAGAAGTTGTTCCTGATCAAGAATGTAAAGATAAGCATGATGGGAAGGTGGAGAAAAAAGAAGGTGGAGGTAACATTGACAACGAGAAAGAAGAGAAGGTTGAAGAACATAACTTGGAACAGCAACCACTAGTAAAGCAAAAGACCAAGAGGGTTGCAACCTTGGATGCATTTAGAGGACTTACCATCGTGGTGAGCACGAGTTAAGACTCCAATCTAAAATTAAAAAAAAAAAAAAAAATTCGTATAATCACATGATCATTTAATATTTATTTCTGGTATTCTGGTGTAGCTGATGATATTGGTGGATGATGCCGGGGGAGCATATGCGAGGATTGATCACTCACCATGGAATGGTTGCACTCTAGCTGACTTTGTGATGCCATTTTTTCTCTTCATTGTTGGGGTGGCAATAGCTTTGGCTTTCAAGGTACATAATTTGATGCCTTTTCTTTTGTTATTTTCCGGTTAGTATTTTTCATGTTCTTCCTTTGTGTTTGGTCTTGTAACTCTGTCCAAGGCCCTATTGTCGGTTCTATAATACTTGAGTGCAAACAAAACGGAATGGCCTCAAGTAGAATCTGTATCCTTTTTATTCGAATTGTTTCTTGGTTCCTTTAAAATAGAGGAATTAAATTAGGATCTGCTTAGTACCAACCGAATATTGGACACTTATAATATCCACAATTTTTTTTTTTTGACATAATAAAATGCACAATATTTTTTGCATTTAAACTTGTCAAAATTGGAATTATGATAATTAAAACTAAAAATATAGGACTCTACTAACAAATCACAAGTCATTGTTGCCAATAACATGCACAATGTTAGTACCCATATTAATATCCATTTAAAACCCAAGTATCTTAACTTTAAAATAGTTACTCTTTTAATGAAAAATTGAAGTTCATAATTAGAATTTTGGCTATTTGATCAATGATAAAATGCATGTATTTTCAGTTCAAGTTATTTAGTTTGAATCTTTCTTCCAAAAAATAAACATCGTAATTCAACTTTTGAATTTCTCAATAGCTTTGTCTAAATGTAGTGCAAAAAATTTATACATCTGCGTGCACATCATTTATTATTACAAATAAATCAATTTATTTTCTTAGAATTGTATTAGGCACTTATTTGGGACTCAAACTAAAATTCATGTCTTCTCATAAATATTTTGCTCTCCTGTTGCAGAAAATTCCCATGTTCAAGGATGCAGTTAAGAAGATAAGCTTGAGAACACTAAAGCTTCTATTTTGGGGAATTTTGTTGCAAGGTAATCTTCACTCCCAAATTTTTCCCAATCATTACCATTTGAAGCTAAGACAGAAGCTTATTACCACTTTATCCAATCTTTTTATGTTTGTATTTCTTTGATAGTTTATTTTGGACAAGGCCATTTAAAATGAAGTCGACTTCTAAATTGTAATTAAGCTAGCAAATATGATAAATTTTACAATGCATAATTTTAATAAGATCTGTTAATGAAGTAAGAAAACCTATTCTGCTGCTTTTCATTGCACAAACAGCATCAGCCTTCATTGATATGCATGGCTAACTTAAAGGTAGATGGGCCTAGTCTGATAATTGGTTTTGACAGGAATCAAAGCTTAGTGAATATTGTAATTGAAATCTGCAGGTGGATACTCCCATGCACCTAATGATCTTTCCTATGGAGTTGACATGAAACAAATCCGATGGTGTGGCATCCTCCAGGTAATAATGGCGAATGCATACGTCTAAAATTTGTTCCTAAAATTGATCTATGAGCTAATAATGAATTTCTTGTGTGTAAGCAGAGAATAGCATTGGCTTACTTCATTGTAGCCTTAATAGAGATTCTCACCATAAAGCGCAGACCGACAGTTTTGGAACCTGGACATTTATCAATTTACGCTGCATACCGCTGGCAATGGTAACCAACCCCAACTCCTATTTTTTACTCTAATAAAGTTGTAACAGAAATTCTACAATCGAAATTAGTATCCTTGCTTCCACGGTTCACCTAAAGTTACGAACACTTTATAATGAAAACCTAGGATTGGAGGATTCATTGCTTTTGTCATTTACATGGTCACAACATATTCTCTATACGTCCCAGATTGGAGTTTTGTGGTGCACGGACATAATGAAGCAACACGATACACGGTACTGAATTGTAGCTTGAATGATCAAGAATGCAGATAAATTAAGTTTATCATGGTTAAAACTAATGATTGATTTTTTTGCTACAATGTTAAGGTCAAATGTGGTATGAGAGGGCACCTAGGACCTGCTTGCAATGCTGTTGGTTACGTGGATCGAGAGGTTTGGGGCATTAATCATCTCTACTCAAGTCCTGTCTGGCAACGCCTAAAGGTTAGTTCTGGCCAGGGTGGTCTGCAATTTGTTAACTGCGTTTTCCTATAGATTAGCAAAGTCATCACTGCTTGCCATCAAATTTTGCTTTGTTTCAACAACATTGTAGGCCTGCACTGATAGTTATCCAAGTTCTGGTCCTTTCCGTGAGGATGCCCCAAGCTGGTGCCGTGCTCCATTTGAACCAGAAGGCTTGCTAAGGTTTGTTGATTAACCAAAAGTTCATTCTAAGTAATCCATAAGCAATGATTTGATTGGTTCCTGTTCTCTTTTAGTTCAATTTTGGCTATCCTCTCCGGCACTATAGGAATCCACTATGGGCATGTTTTAATTCATTTCAAGGTTAGAAATATGTGAAGCTATATAAATGTATCATGAATTACAGTTTCCTATCAGCCTCAAGGAGGGAACTGAAAATTGAAAGCGGTCTTTGTAGGGTCACTCTGAGAGGCTAAAGCAATGGGTTTCGATGGCGTTAGTCTTACTCATTGTAGCCATCATTCTTCATTTTACAGATGGTGAGACTCATGGAATAAGCATTTGAATCCAATGACAGATTAATGTTTGAAATCAATTGCCTGTGGACCATGCAAGATGGAATTTAACACATGTTGTTTCTCTACAAATTTGCAGCTATTCCCATCAACAAGCAGCTTTACAGTTTCAGTTATGTGTGTTTCACAGCCGGTGCAGCAGGAATTGTATTCTCTGCATTCTACATCCTGGTAAAACAATTTCACAAACTCTTCGAGTACTAGTCAATATTGTTAATATTAATGCTAATCGAAGTCTTTCTTTTTCTGTTTTCCCTTGTGAATAAATGGACAGATTGATGTTTGGGGTTTCAGGACACCATTTTTGTTCCTGGAATGGATTGGCATGAACGCCATGCTGATATTTGTGCTAGGGGCACAAGGCATCCTTGCAGCATTTGTAAATGGATGGTATTACGAGTCAACCGACAACACCCTTGTAAGTAACATCATCATCTTGTTAAGATTAAATACTTTGGTTTATCTTACTTTCTTGAAATATGACTCAAAACAAAATCCTATGTACTCTCAGGTCTATTGGATCCAAAAACATGTTTTCATAAATGTATGGCATTCGGAGAGACTAGGAACCCTCTTGTATGTGATATTTGCAGAAATCGTTTTCTATGGAGTCCTTTCAGGCATCTTGCACAAATTGGGTATATACTGGAAGCTATAAGAAGTCAAAATTGCTACAACATTTAGAAAGGACAAGATAATGTGTAATTTACAAAAATGCTCATTAGATTTTTAAGCGCTTTTCTCTCTCTTTCTCCCTCTGTAAACCTTGTTTGCTTGTTCAAATTGCACCTGTTTGCTAATAGCTTGGTTAAATTTAGAATTGTTTTGAACTTTATTTTGGTCAGTGCTTCCATTTCCATGGCTAAGCTTTGTTTACAATCTGTTTGGTTAATGGCAAGAGAAACCTTAAAAGAAAATCTCATCACAATGCTTAGTTCTGTCAAAACTCAAGCAGAGTTAGATATTAGAAGAATTATTACATCTATGTCAACTACAGGAAAGCACGCTTTTTTTTTTTATTTGGATAACAACAAACTACAGGTGAACATCTGAAAAGACAACATCATCATTGAACCATGAAATTTTTTAAAGATGGAATCTGGGGCACCATTGGTCCTATCCCTGGAGGGTATAAAAAAAAATCAAGGTGAAAATATCTTCACATGCAAAATGACAATCTGTACAATATGGAAGTGATCGAAATAGACATGCTACAGATAAAACCACAGCTGTTACCAATGTGACATTATATTTTTCCGTACTCTAAAGAGACATTCATGATCTCTTGGATGAATTGCATACCAAGAGCAAAGTCCCCAACAAACATGGTTTTGTGTTCAATATCCGTGATTATAAATAGGGTTGTCGTCATCTCTAGTTCTCACAATATTAAGTATGTGTTAAGATGAATTTGAAGGAGGGATTAAGTTTTAAAAGTTTCAAATGAATTTATTTTTTGGGTAAAAATAAGAAAGAATTTTAAAATTTAGATAAAATTTCAAAAGAAAATTTAAATACCTAAATTTTTTTCTTAAAATTCTATTTAAATCGGTAGTTTATCAAAATTTTTACACATTTTATCTTTACCGTACATAATTCATTATAAAATATAAAATTAAAAAAATATAATTTTATTTAACTCTAATATATGTTTTTTATTTTTATCCTATTAATAATATCTATATAATTTTATAAGTTTGATGATACTCATATTACGTATTTTATTTTATATATTTTTATCTTTAATATCATAATTGTTCTTTTATAAAATTTTCTTTTTACTTCATCAAACTCCAATAGACTAAATTTTTTTAAAAAAAATATTCATCCAAACAAAATAATAACAAATACTAATATTGTAAAATGATACATTTTGAAATGTTTTCATTTTAAATTTTTTCAAAATTTTAAAATTTTCCATCCACTGGCACTATAGAAGAGGAGACAAAACTGATGGAATCAATTTAATTGGAGACGAAGAAGAGGGAATATAAATGAAGACATGGAGTGGACTGGAGCCAAAATATTAAATTTCCGTCACCGTCTCCCTATCTTTCTTGAATGCCTTGGCAAGAAAACCTAAATAGGAAAACCTTTATTCAGCGTAGACAACTCCAACAAGCAAATTCAGGAACCAATTTCCCCTTATCTTGCTTGGAAGAATGTAGAAGGGATTCTCTTTATCATCAGAAGAGATAGACGGCTGTGAACCAAATTCCAGGTTCGGTTGCTAGGGATCGTGTGTATTTGACAGTCTTTGATGGTGAGATTCACATTCAAGCAAGTAGTAACCGTATCGCAAAGAATTTTGTCCATCATTATGCAGGTGAAGCTATCCAGTTTTACGGACAAAAGGTTAGCACGGAAGCTACTTTTGGCACCATCTTATGGCATAACTGATAATATGCGGAAACTGGAAATTGATGTTCTTTTCAACATGATGTTCTGCATTTTTACGCACAGGGAAATAAAAATTGATTCAGATATTTCGTCGGATTGCTTTCATATAACCCAACTGACCCACCAAAGATACTTACATAACAAGATATGCATGATATCTACCTCTGATACAACTTTCAAGTATACATTGCCATATGAGCTTTACAATGCCTTTATCTCCTCGCTACCAACTCGTCTCTGTATCACAAGGTTAGCCTCACGGAAGCTGGAAATGTGAAATGCGAAATTTTAGTGACATATAACCCATAATTTACATCGTGGCAGGGTAAAGTATAATGTGCAGGGGCCTTGGCCATCCAGGAGGAACAATGTTGTCATTATAGTTATTCCCAACCCATCAACAGCTTCCAAACTCCTTCCTCAACCTTTCGTCTTGGAATAGATAAGCTAGCCCCTTCATCTAGTAAAACTCTGTAAACTTCCCACTCTCGATCTCCAATCATGTGTCTCCCAATCTCTGCCTGAAATATATGCAACCTCAAAAAAGTTATACATGCAATTTGCAAAAGAAAAACTGAGAAACATTAATAGACTCGAAATAAATTAGTATTTTATTCTGATCAAGCAATATAATACACATTGGATTCATGTTTGGACAGACAGGTAACATATCAGTAAAAGTCAACCATATTCTACAACTATACAACTGCAAAGAGGAGTAAAAGAGAAAACATATGCATATTATTGCACTCTCACAATCCCCCACTCAAACTAGGAGTTGGAACTCCATTATCAAATTGTGAAATTGGTGCATAAATATATATTGCAGATTAGATATGGAAAACATGAAAACATGCAGCCACATGACATCAGCTCTAATGCACAGTTAAGTTCAACATCCCAATGACCTGCTATTTCAAGTAACAAAAAAGCATTTATTCACATGGGAAAACAAAATAAAGGAAGGCATAGAAAACCCCTAAAGAAGCTTATACAGCACAGAGCTGAGGAAGTACCGAGAAGATGCAGGTGTTAAGCATCTTTAGAGCAAGGGTAATGTCATAAAAAACAAGAGGTCGGCCCTTGCTTGATAACTCTACAGGGTTTGCAACCAGAAGCTCTGTATCAGGACCTCGGCTCACAACAGCTACTCTGAGTGGTTGGAGCAGTTCCATCTGTAGACGCGAGGACAATGCACTTTGCTTGCTAGGATCAACTATCTTCTTCCCATCAGCTTGCATTACAAACAAGTCAATCTCACACTTTCTTCCTTGTTTTATATAGAAGCGTCCATGTGAAATCTAGTTACATTATGAAATTGAGGCATTAACTTGGTGGAACTAGTTTCAGTTACATGGGCTAAGAATGCTTCTCTTCCCAACCAAAAATTAAACAAGTAAAATGGTGTTTCCACAACTTTAAAGGAATCATGTCAATCATGGTTGACAGATAACACATCATAATACTGAATACTGACTATATGAGCATAGCAAGAGTGGTTTCATCAATTCATCTGGGCCGGACACTTAGCAACAAACATAACTAATGCGCAGCCCCGTGAAAATGACTGAAGAATAAAACCCATTGAACAGTCAAGAATTTCACATATCAGAATTTTCAAACAAGCATAGATATATCCAAACCACCATAACAATAATATTATAAATAATTCAAGCTAGAATGATCCTAAAAACAATCTTCCCGGACATAAAAGATCAGATAAATATCCATGATTAACAGCAGCATCTCACTTGCTTAAAAATTCAGTAAAACATTGATTTATTATATAGCAATGAGTCTATCTACCTGAATGTTGTAATCCTTCAGAGTTCTCATTATGTCATACAGAAGACCTTTATGATCTTGGCAAACGATCTGAACAAGCGTGTGAGCAGGACTGAGCAAGTTGTCCATCGTGACAGAAACATTGTTGGAAGTTAGTGATACACTTGGGAGTCCTCCCTTGGACATCTCGAAGTGGAAAATATCTTCTGTTATTGCCGATGGGAGAAATGGAGATGCCTGAGAACATGCAGTAATTTCAGGTCCAACCTTTTCAATATTACAGCTAATCACAGCAGCCTGCATAACATCTTCCAATGCTTTATAAGTCTCCTCCTGCCTCTTTTTTGTATGTAATAGTTCCCTGGAAAAAAAAAATCACAATGTTAACAAAGGATGTTACTTTTTGAAAATTAAGAAGAATATACACAAGATTTTGCTCCTTTAGAAAAGAGTTGCGGAAACTCAAGGTGGAGATGCAAGATGCATCAGCTTAGCTAACATAAGCTGAAACATAAAACTAGTTTTCAAAGATTAGTAAAGCACAGAATCTTATTTGGAGATATCATATCAAGGAAACAAAACCTGGTATCTGTAACAAAGAATAGGTCCACCACCGTCCCATCTGGAGTTGTTGACACCTTCACTTTCTTTATATTGAGTTCAAGACTACAAAGAACTTTTGTCACATCTGCCAAGAAAAAAAAAAGTCTAAAGTTAATTCACTAATATAGTTTAGACCACATTTCAGCAATCAATTTCTTCAGAGAAAAACCCTACCATGAAGAAATTGCATAAGTGGGAAAGCAAAAACAGAAACCATTTCTTAAAGCCCTATTTGATAGCTGAAGAAACAGGGAAAAGGAAAAGATCTTGAATTTCTAAAATTCAATATTATGTTAATTTTTCCATAAAAAAATTCCCAAAAAGAATTTTTAAAAAGGATATATCTCGATGGACTTGTAAAAGAAATCAACCAAATCAAGACCAAAACTTCATAGGAATTGAAACTACACTAAGTTGTTCTCAAAAGAAGAAGAAAAAGTTTACCATGTAAAAGGCCTTTTCTATCATAACAACAAAGCTTGAGGAGAAAGACATCAGGAGGCTTCGGAGGCTGCAATTCAGAACGGTAATAAGAAATCCCAGAAGCCGAAGAGCAAGAGGGGCAAACCCCAACTAATCTTTTCTTCAACAATTCCCATCTCGAAGTATCCCATCTTGTAGTTGGCTTACAAACCACCCAAAACACTATGTAGCACCATCTCCCATCTGTGGATATATCTTCACAAAAAAAAAAACCCAAAAAAAAAAAGACCATAAAAGTATACAACATGTTACCAAAATTAAGTCAAAATATCAAACTCCCAATAGCTTGTCAAATGCCCATCATTTGGTTCATTTTGCTACAAACAGCCCAAAAGTGATATCTTAAAAGATGAAAATTCCCAATTTTTTTCATTTAAGTTAAACAAAAACCTAAAAATTCTTCGTAGCCTGTTTCACAAAAACAAAGCAAAAGCTCAAATGAAGATGAATAAAGCACACGTATCAAAAAACGGGTTGGCTTCCAAATAGCCAAAAAAAAATTTGAAAACTACTTATTTTTGGTAAAGAAAAAAGTTTATAAATTCAAAGACATGTAATCATTGTATAAGAAAAGAAAAAAGAAAATTTGGGGATACCTCCTCTAACAATGCTAAGACCAAAAAAGAGCAAGATGCGGCATAAATCACAGCCTAAACCAGTTTTATCAGGGCAGTTAATAGTGATAACACTAGGCTCTCCTTCATTCTCTGATTGCCTTACGATCACTACGTCGTCGAGTAGAATACCCATATCTTTCTTCTTCTTCTTCAAAGCCTGAAAGAAACAGTGAAAGATTTTTGCTTTTATTTATTTGGGGTGCTTTGGTTTTACTGTTTGCTTTGCTTCAATGAGTTGCAGTGTCGTGTTGAGAAGTGCAGAGGAGCAGTAGTGATGTGTAGGCAGATGAAATGCGAAGAAAAACGGAAAGCAGGCGACGCACCGAGAGATAGAGAAAGAGAGAGAATTGGCCAAATGAAAGAAATAGAAGAGAAAGAGAGAGAGAGAGAGTCAGTGTTTTGCTGCTTTGCCTATTCTTTGCTTGTGCTTCACTTGCAGTTGTTGTTTGTCAGTCTATTTTTCATTTTTTATTGTTTTTTTTTTTTTAACTTTCTTTATGATCATTGCTGTTTTGATGTTTGGTGTTGAATATTTTCAAAATCTCCCACACTCCAGTATCCAATATTACCATGTCGATTATTGAAAATCAAAAACAGGATACACTATCACATCCTGTGACAATAATTTTGCTTTCGGTTGTTCTTTTTGGGTAGGAGCAAAATAAGTTGTACTAACAAGACTACTACAATCTAACAGGAAGAGCAAACAAATTGTACTAACAAAATTTGTACAAAGTTTGAGTTAGAGTTCTAATAAAAATTTATTAATAGAAATTCATTCGAGTTTAATCAATTTTTAATTTTTAATTTAATTTGAAATAAAAATAAATTATTTAAATTTATTTATCAAATAAAAATTAAATTTTATTATTATTATATTTGATTTTAAATTCGATTATTTATATTCAAATTCATATATATATAATGATAAATAGTAATTTTTAATTAAAATAATAAAAAATATATATTAAACTATAAAAACTTGATTAAATTCATAATAATTTTAAATAAAATAATAAAAATATATATCAAATTATAAAAATTTGATTAGACTAATAAGTTATTTAAGTCACACATTATAATATTCAAATTTGATTTACTCGATAAATTAAATTGTTCAATTTTAACTCAATAATAATTAAATTGAACTTAAATTTTATTGAAATCTAAATCGTATAGCTTCCAAGCATAATATGTCATTTACACTTCTAATTCAATTTTCATTTTTTGTACTTTATTTCTACGTCCTCAAGTTATACTTCTTTTCGTATGAAAAGAAAAAAAATGAATTTGTTCTTTTTTCTCCTCAAAATATTATATCTAGTTTTAGAAATTTGAGGCATTTTCTTGGTTATATTTTTTTGAAAAATAAAAAATATGAGTAAAAACATATTTGATAATTGAAAATGAAAACAAATTTTTAAAAAGTAAAAATGATAATGAATTGAGATATGAAAAAAAGTTATTTCAATTATGAAAATAAATGATTACATTATTTTTTTACTTATATTTTGGAAGTTATCACATTTAAACACTTTTAAATATTATTAATTAATAAATATATATTATATTTATAATTAAATATCATTAACAATAATGTCATTGAATATTTTATTTACTTATTTATTTTACATTTTTAGAAAATAACTTTTATTTTCGTTTATCAAATACATTCTTTAAAAAATAAGAAATAGAAAATAATTTTTTTTAAAAATAAAAACAAAAAATATTTTCCCAAACCAAATATAAATCCTTACAAATAGAAAAATGAGAACACAAATTTCACTTGAAGTAAAAATTTTATTTACAATTTTATCTCTAATTTTTTCCTTTCTCATTATTTTTTTACCAAACACAATAAAAAAATTTAATTTTCTTTTTTTCTCTTTTTTTTTTCCTTCTTTCCATTTTCCTTCCTTTTTATTAAACATAGTGTAAGTCTAAATGAAGTCTGAAAATACCCTTCACAGCATTATAAAAATATGTATATTTTAACCATTAAATGTAAATATATATGTACATAGACTTTTACATTTTCTGGGTGCACCAAAAATTTTGCATGTGGAATAATAATGTTAAATATTAATTGATTAATACTCCAACTTAACATCATCACTTATGATTAATTAGAATTGAAAAGTGAATCATAACTAATTGAATCATTTTTTTTTTACATCTTTTTCCTTGAATGCCATTACCTAGATATCTTAATTAAAATATATATATATAACTAGTAAAAGTGTTGACAAGTTTTTAAAAAATGGCCAAATGAATTCTAATTATTAACACATTAAAAGGTCAAATGACCGATATAAAAATTTTATAATATTTTAATTTCAATGATTAAAGTTTAATTTATGATAATCAAACGTAAAAATAAAATATTTATAACAAAAAATTTGTGATTTGGACGTGTTCAAGCAAATATCAATTTGAGGACTGATTAGAAAGGAAATTTATTAATCAAAATTTCAAACCAAACAATTGGGGTATACATAAAAGGTAAAAAAAAAAAATTGTAATTCTCAAATTTGAGCATTTTCTATAGCAAAACCATCCCCAATCATTCCTTATCCTCTTTTTAATTTAATTTTTTTCTTTTTTAAACCAAAAAAAAAACATTTTGGGGCAGCTTATCCTTATATTTTCCAACAGTATTGTGTGGCACTGACACGGTCCAACATCATTGGACATTCTTAAATCTTAAAAAATATAAAATAAAAATGCTTATGTTTTAATTCATTTACGGAGACCTTGGAATAAAACTCTTCCATATCACGATAAATGGCGAGATATTTGATTTTACCTGTTTTTAGCACGCCGTGGTCAGCATTTCAATTACCCGATCGTGACTCACCCGCACACGGGCCATCAGTCGCCATCACGTGTTGTATGTTCTGGATGGTCCCTGTGGGTCACGTGACTTTCTACTGCACTTTAACCCAGGTTTGGTGAAAAGTTACCTGTGTCATATGTCACTTCTACGTCATCGTTGAAAATTCTTTTAGCTCAAATTATTTGAATGTTTTTACTTTCTATAAAATTTTATAAAATTTTAATTTTATTATATTTAGTATTAAAATTCAAAATTTTATAAATTTAAAATTTTAAAATTTTTAATATAAAAACTTAATAAAATTTTTAGAATGTAAAAATTTTTAAATTTAAAAAATTAAATGTTACAAAAATATAATTTTAAAACATCGAAAAATATAAACAAAAAAAAAAAAACAAAAGGTGTATTTTTATAATAGAATTAGGATAAATTAAATCTTAATTATTTAAATCAAGGGTTATTATTTAAAAATCCAATTAATTGATATATGTATATAAACACCTATTAAAGATTATTTAATTATTATTTTATTTTTTCATTTAATATACTATTTTTGTCAATTTTAAAAAAGCATTAATTATATATTTTTAAAAAAATTTATTTTAATCAGTGTTATTAAGTATTAATTAACATTTTATAAAAAAAAGTTAAGTAATAATATAGTATTTTCGTTCATCAATAATGATTTATTCAACGAGTTGTACCTGTGACTATTTTTAATGGAGAGAGGTGAGGCCATAAGGCACCATTCACCAATGTGGTGGATAGTAATAATTTGGATTAATTAACGTGGGAATTAGATGGACTTTGAATATTGAAAAAGTATATGCATTAGATGGAAAAAAAGGATACTCACTTTTTGGTTTGGAAGGGAGGGACCTTGGAATCTGATCTAGTTCAAACTTTGATTTTCCATTGGTATTTGTCTAAAGTTAGGTTTAGATTTCACCTTAGTTTTAATATAGTGTGATTGAATTTATTATACCACTAATTAAATTGAAATGTTAATTTTAATAAAATTTATTTAATATAAATTTTTTATTAATTTTTTCAATCATAATTATAATAATATTTTATAATTATAATTATAATTATAATAATTATTATTTTTAATTTTTTCAAAATCAATATCATCATTTATTAAAATGAGTCTAAATTTGACTTTAAAAAAAAGTTTGATTATTTGTTTAAAAATATTGTTTATATTGATATTTTAAATTAAAATAAAAAAAAACATTTTTTTTTTATTTTATAATGTCTTAAGATAAGTCCAATTTGAAAATATTTATCCAATTCCAGCTAAATTGGACAAGATTTGCATAAATAAGCTATTTTTGAATGACCTAGGGAAAGTGTGAAAGAAGAAGAAAAGCCTGTCTCAAACAATTAGAACAAAACAGACGGTACGCATGAAGCCACCAATCCTTTCAGCTTTTGATGTATTGTTGTAATCGTCAATGCAACAATTATAATTGGGGATGATACTCAAACGAAGTGAAATGAAATTTGTGTGCCCACAAAAGAGAGATGGAGGTCACATTTGACACCGTGCAATGACGCCGTCCTTCCCCCCAACCACCACCACCGCCGCCACCACATTAATAAGTGAGATATTTGGGTAAAATAGTAGTTACCCAATTGACGGGAACAGGTTTTGAAATTCGCATCTAGGTTAACGGTTTAAGAGCTGTCAAGGCTAGAAAATGATCAAGGTACCTCTTTGAATAATGGGTCATTCTTAAATTTGATGTTGCTGTTTAGGATATATATTCAAAATTTTTGCGCAAGATATGTCATCTTTAAGAAATACGGATCATTTGTCACCTGAATCATCGCGATTTCATCAAATTTTAATGGCAATTGACTAAATTAATGAATTTAAATTTTTTTAAAATTATCAAATATCTAAAAATTGAATGTCAAATATTACAAATTAAATGTCAAATTTAACATAATTTAAGTTGAAGTTAGTTGTATTTAGAGAACCGAGTTTGGATCACAGTAGATTTATATGCTGTAAATTACATATTTTTGTCAAGCAAACCTGAAATAAAATATATCCGAAGATATGATCCAATAATTACTGCATAATCTCTTGTTTAATTCTTCTTTCCGCAAATAAAAAAAAAAAAAACTTGTGACGAGTATATGAAATTTAATGTTTAATAAGGGTCACTTTAGAAATATAATTTAGCCTTCTAAACGTGGAGTTCTCAATGAAGTTCAAATTTGTTCATCACAAACTTTGAAAAAACAATTAAAATTCCAATTTTTTATTAATAATTAAATTTGATCTCCATGGTATACGAGAAAAGTTTCCAATTGACTAATAGACTCTAGGTTAAATGAATCTGTCTCCCTTTTTGCAAAAGCACATAGAGTATAATTTTCTCTTTAATCATTGTATCTTTTGAAGTCGTTCGGTCAAATAAGCTCACTTTTATGTGTTCAAAATCTAAGCAGCGCTCTATCTTGCCACAAAAGCAACACTACTATATATTTATATTTTTATATATAAAAAAAAAAGCTGCGGTATGAAGATAAAAAAAGCTATTATAAGAGATATGATTTGAATTTTATATTTATTAAATAATATTTTTAAAAGTTATTATATAAACCAATAAATTTAAGCTTTGGATTTATTATTGTATTAATTTTGATTCAACATTTAATGCATATAGTAAGAGATATTTATCATAAAATAAAGATTTAATCATAAATTAATATATTTTATCTTTATCATAAATAAGTTATACTGCTTAATAGATAATTTTCAGAGTCTTTCTTAACGAAATTAAAATTTAATTCAATTTAATTCATATAATTATCATTAATATATGCATTTAATAAATTTAGATTTAAATTTTATAATTTATAAAATTTTATCTTAAATTATGATTTTTTAAAAGAAAATAACCACCTTAACAATAACTAATGAATAAGAAAGTATGTTACTAATACATAACTTATATTGCAAGAACGAAATTGAAATTCGAATAAAGATTTTAAGTTCCTCAAATTTTCTCCTTTATAACAGGAAAAAAAAAAAAATGAAGAAAGTAGTTCTTCAAATTTGGCTCGCCAACATATCCTAGTCAGGCAGGGCCAAGGTGGCAAAGCTAAGATAATCCAATCAAAGTCAGTTTTGGCTTTTGAATTTCAAAGAATGGGTGCCTAAAGTAACCCCAATTGAACAAGTGGAAGCAATGAAAGTCCCATCAAAATATGAAATTTTAATTAAAAAAGAACCATAAAACAAAGGAATTTGTGAGCCAAGATTGGTTGAAAATGATGGGATATCGTCCGCTTGCTTAAAACACACCTCTCCTTTATAAGAAACCAAAAATGAAAGGAAAACATGCACAAAATGAATTGTCATTTGTGTCATAAAGTAACAATCTTTCTACCTAGTGATAATCTCCCACGTATTTATCCCCATCTTATAGAAATTTTTTTTTTTAAATTGGTAAATGATTCCTCAAGTTATGTAAAAATAAACTATAACACCTTATTATCTTTAAAACTTTATTTTAAACATGTGCTTCGCAGCGCATTTTATTATTTGGCAAGTGGGTTGTTGGACTACCAACTGATATTAGACAACGACTTTGAGAAGTTTGCGGATTGATGGGTTATGCATTGTACCTACCCCTCATTCCAAAACGTTAATATATAATATCAAACTTGGATAGTATCTCTATATATATTTTTATCATATTTAATAATATTAATGTGGGATTCATATATAGAGTAATTGGAAGTACTGAGTTTTGAATGAAAATGGGAGGGGAGATAGTGATGGGATAAAAATAAAAGGGAGCAAGTTGAGAAGTAAAGAAATGTGAGATTGTGAATTTTAGTGGGTGAGCGTGGGACATAGGAGACTTTTAAGGCAGTGGGTGGACATGGATTCCCATTGAACTTCTGAGAAGATGCATTGAGATTCGTCATTTGTTCTTTCTATTCATTTTCTTTTTTTTGTGTTAATGTGAACTAAGGTGTCCTCTGGGCCATGGAACATGAAAAGGAAAGCAGAGAAAAGGGTAGACGACACAAGCTTGGCATTGCCATTTTGTCCTAAAAGTTTTAGGGAAAATGTTTGATTAAGCCATCTATATATATATATATATATATATAAAAGTCGTCTTTCAATTGAAATGGTATATTGGGGCTAATTGAAGGTCTAATTAAATGATATTTGTTATTCAGTTAGACCCTTTAATTTTTTTGGTATTTGTCTTGGTTTCTTTTTTAAATAAGGAAAAACATAAAACAATAAAAAATAAAACTCCCAAAAAAAATCTGGAAATCTTAAAAAACCTATTAAAATATATCAAATTACTTATTGTTTACTAAATTAAATAGTAAAAAATATTTATTTACAAAAAATTTTAAAATGAAAATTTGCAAAATGTTATAAGCGACATTTTTTAAAAATATTTTTATACATTAATAAAGAAATTATACGCTTAAACCTCTCAAAATCCCGAATATAACCGAGCAAAATTTTCAATAAACCTTACAAAATTCAAATATATGAATACTTGAAAAAGTGATAGTCCATGCCTTTACTCAATTTGAAATAACAACGCAACTTATTATGAAAATTAAAAAATCTCAACACATATCTCACTTCAAAAAATCTTCTTTCTTTCTTCCAAGTAATTAGGTCAAACTTTGACCACAAACAAAGATGAAGGAAAAATCCCCTTCTTTCAAAACAACTTGGTATTATCAAGTGACACTAGTGGTAAAATAATTTGCTCATCTTTTTAGTTGTCTTAAACTTGATTTTGTTGACAAGCTGCGGAAAAGTAATATTTTTTAATGTTTTGAATTTGAATATATTTAAAAAGTATGAAAAAATAATTTTTTTATGAATTTATTAAAATTAATATAAATAAATTTGTTTTAAATTGATCTGAATAAAAAATAACATTGAGTAAAAAATAAAATCCCTTATCTTTAAAAAATTATTTTTTAATATTGCAATTATCCATTCTCACTGTATAAAAAAAATTATATTTATATTTCGAAGTTTACCCTAGCAGCTAAGTAAACCATTCAAGACTAGAAGATTTTCGAATTAAACAAAATTCTTTGACTAGATTGACTCTTTTTCGAGGCATTTTCCCCTATATTTCCTTCTTCTTACAGCAAGATCTAGGTTGTCTCCGTAAGATTCTTTTTGGCTTACCTACCCACATGGTCTTGCTAATTTTTTTTCTTAAGTTCAAAGTCAAACACATGGCACATGATTCTAATTAGATGCCCACTTAAACAGTTCAACTACCGTCTCTTTCTTCATTCCTACATTTTGAGGGGTTTTTGAAAATCTAATTTCTACCGAATTTTCTCATAGTCCTAAGCTAGCACTTAGTCACATGCTTCATAAAATTGTAATAAAAAGTTGGGTTCTTTACCATATTAAAATAAAGTTTTTTTGCAGAGAAAATGTACGCTTAAGTTGCCGACAGAGTTTTTTATCATTAAAAAAGAATAGGCCGGTGACACTTGCTATATGTAGGTTAGTCCAATGTCGGATTTTTTTTCTTTTCTTGTCATGAAAAAAAAGTCAAGAATGGGTCATAGTGGACCATTGACAGGGCCATGGTGCTGGATTGTGGGCTTTTGGGCTAATGGACCAGACAACAGATGCTTCAATTGGACTCACCTTTGGAGGAGGATTATAGAGGAAAGATTTCTTTCTTTTTCAGGTTTTCTCTAACAAAGACTAGCATAACAGATTTCATACCTTCCAAATGCTTGTTTCACTAAAGCTTAGATAATCATAGCATCTTATCGTAACAACAAAAAATTTTCAGCTTTTAGGAAGTCTATCTTCAAAAGGATCATTATGTTTATGGCTGATTTTCGTTCCATGGAAAGCACTCCAAACTTCAGCATCAGTCCTGCTTGCCATCTGTCACTTCCACTGGTTTCGACCCAGACTCAGCTGCACCAGTTTCAGTTTCTGGGGCCACCTGTCAAAACAACGGGAAAACTTAAGCAAATCAAAGGACATAAAGTACAGCTAAACACCAGAATGTGCAGAAACTAGGAGAGTCCAAAGCCAGGACAGCAGCAGCAACCACCACCAACCAGATAGCAAACATATGATTATTTAGAGTTCTGACCAACAGCTTTATAAAATATACAGCCTTAAGACTGATTAGTGTTGGCAGTCGCAGGATGTTCTGCGCACAACATAAACTCGGAAAGAATACAAACAAGCATATTCTATGCAAGAATGATACAAGACTAGCTCCACGAAACTAATGCTATCAGTCTTATTGATGGCAATAGGTTGGGTTGGGGTGAATTTTTGCTTGCCTCGCTTCTGACCCTACCTTCATACACTCTACCCGATCCCTGACTGGTCCCGCTCAAACTTTTTAATTATGAAACCCGACTCCGACCTGTTAGAAAAGAAATTTCCCCCGACTTGAACCTGCTTAGCCCTGAATACTCAGGATTTCGCAAATTACAAAAGGAAAAAAAGAAACCTGTGCAAGTGACAAACTAGAAACGCCAAAGAAATATGTCCTCATTTCAAGTTAAGTTCAAGTCTTTGACAATTACAAAACCCTGGTTCCAAGGGTCAAAATTGATTTGTCTCAACTTGGGATATTTGGGAAGAGAGGGGGATGAGGATAGAACGTTTAAACAATTTTCAAAATTAGATTATATTCCCAAATTTGTCATCTATTTATCAGGCTTTCATCCAATAAAGCAAAAGAGAAAAATAACAAAGTTATTAGTTAGATTATCGCTTCCCCTCCCTTAAAAATCGCTTCCCCTCCCTTACACTAAAAGCAAAAGTTCTTTACACTCTCATCTCCTTCCCACTCTGACCAAATCAGGGGAGCAATAAACTTTCCTTTCACCTATCCTTTCCATCCTCATATCCGCTACAACCCTGTCTGTCCAAACTGCTAAACCATAAGGTAACAGGCTAGCAAGCAAGCCAGTTTAAACTTGTAAGCTAGATAACGTGATTGTCTACAGCACAAAAGCTCCATCCTCATCTCAATAGCAAGCACAGTTGCTAAAATAAATTGATGCATTAACCACCCATTTACGAGGGCCTTGATCAAAATAAAAGCTATAAGTAACACTGAAGGATATCCCTCTGGCAATGGCCAGATTAGGCATTGAACTTCTAGGTCCATTAATGAAATATTTGGAAGCCCTAACACTTCTTTCACCCAATTGCAAAAAAAAGGGATCAATCTTATGCACGTCATTTGGCCTCCATTGCTTTAATTTTCACTTGCTTAAAGTCCAAAACCATGCTTTAAAAGATTCCAGTATTCACCTAAGCATTTTAGACAAAATAATTGGCATCTTCCAATGGCGGCGAATCAAACCCTAACAACTCTAACTCCCTCAACAATCAGTATTTCCTCCAGTAATTATAATAAATCAGCATAAACAATAAACCAAAATTAACTTTAGGGCAAAGATTCACAATTTAAGCTGGCAATTAATAATCACTCACTTTGCTAGTGTTTCCCGTTTTTGCAGCCGGTTTATACGGACACGCCGGAGGTGCCCTCTCCGGTTTCCGGTATTCCCATCCAAAAAGCCTAAAAATTTTACCCTGAACGAAAAAAAAAGAAGAGGAATTTATCAGAAACAGAGGTGAATTAATCAAATAGGAAAAAAGATAATAGTTTAAAATCAAATAATTTTACCATGATGAAATCGAAGAGGAGAGGCAAAATGTTGACGATCGGGACGAGGAAGAGCGGCAATAGGCAAGCTATACAAACCTGAAAAATCCAAAAAAATTGTTTTTTGATCGTAGAATTAAGGAGAAAAAGAATTGAATTTAAAATGGATTGTTAAAATTACCATCTTTAGATTTTTCACTTTGGAAATTTTCGATTTTTTTTTCTTCTTTCTGCTCTTCGAAATTGAGATGCGGTTTTTCAACGTTGCTTAATGAAATGGGCGGGTTCGGCTTGGTTGTTAGATCCGGACTCGAGGTCAAATTTTACGGGTCGGTTCAAGCTCTCAGACCCGATAGCCCATTTTAAAAATTACCAAAATTTCACTCGCCGACTTAGTAGCGTTTGGATCATCCGCATTTTTAGTGGAACGATTAAATTTGTCACACTTTTAAGATAAATCTAAACGTCAATTTAAATGAAATTAAATTAATATAAATTTTTTATTATAATTATAATAATTTTTTTAATCATAATTATAATAAATTCATTCAAATAAAATTTTAGATATTATTTGGATCCTATCGCATTCTAATACAACAGAATTAAGCTCACTACATATTCAATTAAATTTAAACAACAATTTTAATAAAATCAACATTAAATTTTCATTAAAATAAAATTTATTATTATATCATTTTTACGGTCCATATAAATGGAACCTTACTGGCTCGTACCCACGATAATAACGTTTTCCCTTTCTTTTTACTTCCAATTGCCTCCCTTTCTCTGCCAAAGACTCCCTACGCAAACGGAAAAAAAAAAAAAACTATTCTGAATCCAAAGTCCCCGAATGTCTAACCCTAACCCTAACCCTAACATCTACATTGTAGTAGATCAAGAATCAGAAGAAGATTCCGAAGAAACTGAAGAAAGCGAAGAAGATTCCGAAGAAGAAGAACAAGAAGAGTCCATTCCAGTGATGGAGTCGCCTAGGGTATCCGGCAAGGACGGAGAGAAAGGGGTAGAAGGGAGGATTTGTTCGAGTTTGGGAGAGAGTGGGGAAAATTCTCAAGGTAAAGAATGGAATCGTGGCGACATTGATGGGTTGTTTTGCCCCATCTGTTTGGAAGCTTGGACTACAATCGGTGACCATCATGTCTGGTGAGTACATTTCTCTATTCCTCTTTAGGGTTTTTAATTGAAATTCGTTTCGGTTTTCGTGGTTGCCGCCAAAATATGACTTCCTTAGTTTGTAATTTTTAATAATTAAAAATAAAAACTTTTAACTTTTTTGGAAAACAAAATAGTATCGGACTTGGCTTTTCTACGAAATAATTACAGTTGAACCTGTATTGCATTTTAGTTTTTGAAATCGAAGATTGTATTGTTGTATGTGTTCTACTGATAGAAGATAAAAGGTGGGTTGTTTTTTAATGTTACATTATGTTACATTTTGGCTACTAAATATGCTCAATCTTCCAATTGTTTTGGCCGTAGTTGTCTTCCTTGTGGGCACATATTTGGTTTTTCATGCATCTGTAAATGGTTACAACAACGTGGAACTACAAGAAAGGTAGTTTTCATCATCAAACCATGTTATTGTTACGGACTGGTCATATATTTATCTAACATTCTTGTTTCTGTCATCTTTTTTTCTTCAGTGTCCTCAATGTAACAGGAAATGCACCTTAAAGGATGTAAGGAAATTGTTTGCATCATGGGTTGTTGCTATTGATGGAGAATCACAACAGGTCATAGTAAATTTCCGAGGATAGTTTTTTCAAAAAACATTACAGAAGTCTATTGTTAATGGTGTATCCTTGTTTTATTCAGATAATTCGATCTCTTAAAGCTAAGTGCATCTCTCTTGAAAAGAAGGTAAGACCTTTTACTGGAAAAAGAAGAAAGAAAAAGATGTCATTTAACTTGGTATTGTTTTGTCATGTTCCATTTTATGAATCTTTCTGATCTTATTCTAAAAAAGAAATTTGTAGAGTGCTGATTTGAGTAATAAAGATGCTGAATGGCGAAAGAGAGAAGTTGAGTGGAAAAAGAGAGAAGCTGTGTTGCAACAAGAACTTCACCAGCTTAAAGAGGTATGTTAGTCATAAATGTTTTTGGCTTTTGTTGTTTCTTTATACATACTCATAAAACTACGATGTCTGGTTGAATTTGTTTATTAAGTACTCCTTATTTTTGGCTCATGTACAGTAAATGTTAGTTGTCCTGTTTTACTAAATCTTTAATGTGGCTCAATTGTTGCATTTGGTTACTGTTCATTTGTTGCATGTTGATTTTTCCACTTCACCTGCACTTTCTTTTGTGCTCTGTGTTATGCAATAGCAGTTAGGTCCTTAAGTTTGAGCGTGCTTCACGGGCCATGTAGCAATCCAATCTCACATTTACAGCAACTAGTGCTGTCAGTTATATGCATGTTCTTTATGAGGAAGTGTTGTGTATGCTTTGTAGTTTGAGGAAATATTATTGGGTGTACTATTGATTTTGAAGTCTCTAATCTTCTTTACAAATGGATTTTCAGATCTTGTGATAGAATTAGAAATAAAATTTTGAAATCATCTTTGGTTGCTGGATGCATATAATTCATATGTTTTGCAGGTTGACCTGTTTCTTAAAATAATAATCAAAGTAGTTTGTTATCTTGAACTTTTTGGCTTTGCAGAAAACAAATTTTTTGGAGCAATTATTGGATGTGCAGAGTGGGAAATCAGGACGTGCACCTTCAATGGGAGGCTATCAAGTACAATCTCTTGGTAATCCTTTTTCTGCCTTTGTTTAGAGGAGAGATAATCTCATATGATTAAATATCTTTATCTTCTAATCTTTAACCATGAGATTATATTATGTTCCTCTTCAGTAGAAGCGATTAAATATGACATACAAGGGTTAGTGCCTTTTCCCTTTTTTAAGGGACCACCATCCTCTTTTTTTTTTCATTAATTCTGGTATAATATTCAATTATTCATCATTTTCTGTAGGGCACAGCCCAGGCTCAGAGTTCAATGGGCAAGGACCTTTCATTTTGCAGGTATTAATCTCTCCCCTTTCCTACATCCCTCTTTTTCTTGACAACTCACTTAAATGTGTGTGACTTATTAGCTTAGCTATGAAACCCCAATTGTTTTCTTGAAGTTGCACACAGTTGATTTTCATGGTTATGTGTGAAAATATGCATGGCATTTACCATTACTTGGATATAGCTCTTTCTAAATTTTCCATGCTTTCCTCAAAGTTCTCTATAAAACTTGCTTCATTTAACTTTCTTTCTATGTCTTATTAGTTTAATAACATCTCTCTCACACTCACTTTTCTAAGGATTTTCATATTAGAAACATTATATCTGAAAACATGGTTTTGGAAATACAAACCTAAAGTCTGCTTTTTCTCTTAGAAAATTTCTGTTTAATCTTGTTTGTTGTGGTTAGAAAATGGACTGAATGTTTATAATATTTGGCATCTTGCTTTATACGCAGTTGATTCTCTTTCAGAACGTAACTTCAATTTGATTACTTTTGATAGGTTGAATTTTTCTTCTCTTCTTTCCTTGCCAGTTCTTCCCCCAGGCTAATTTCTTTCTTCTTCTTGCCATGTAACATGTACCTTTATTGTTTTAATCTTGCAGAAAGAGCTGAAGGTGGATGGTGCACGGCTATTTGATGTAGATGCTTCAAGTGAAATTTTATTAATGACACGAAGACTGCAAGGGTTGGGTGGAACACATGTTCTTACCAAAGTAAAGTTTCTGAGCTTCAACATGGAATGTGACTATATTATCACTACCTGGACTTTCTGCTAAGAATGACTCTTATTGAATTTCTAAACATGGGTTCACAGATGAGCTTGGTAGTGCCATATGAGAGACAAGACATTTCATTGCCTTATGGTACCAAAGCTGTAAGGGATCTGCGCATTTGTCCCTTTGGTCGTAGCTTGGCGCTTTTTGCTTCCTTAGGAAAGAAATTATCAGTTCTCAGGTGGCACAATTCTTGGCGTTGAAAATTTATCTACAACTTATTCCGCAATTTCCCTTAATTGACTTGACCACTCATGTTGTTGCAGCACAGAAAGCAACAATGTTATCCTTGCCTATGATCTACCGGTAAAAATTCCTTTTGTCAGTTATAACTTCATTTATTGATTTAAGATGCTGATTAGGTTGAGAACTCTTCTGATTCTTGTCTATCCTTCCCCTTAATAGAGCATATTTACTTATATTGTGATAAATATGGAAAAGAATGATATATTTGCATTTAAAATTGTGAATTAGAATAAGTTTTCTTGCTTGGAGCATATAAATTACTTGATTGTATTTAAGTTGCTTTCAGATTTTTAGGCAATGCATAAGATCCTCACTTTTGTGTGAGTATGCTTGCATGCAGATGATGGTGTTAACTGATAGATAAAAAGAATATTTCTGGGAGTGCGTGCTATGTAAAAGCAGTGATTGAAATAACTGAACTTGATAAAGCCCTGTTAACTCTTTAAAAGATGAATCCTCCCCTGAAACTTATCACATGGTTCATGAGTTGGAATGTGCAAGTTCAATTAGAAATATCGTATTGCCTACTCTACTCATCCTTGTTTCAGTGGGTAAGAACTAGTGTGTTTAGTATTTTTTTTTTTTTTTCTGTTTCAAGGCATGTTTCTGCTACTTGTATGTATTGATTCATACATGTCAAGGCCATTTTTTAAGCCCTTTCAAGTTACTAATATTGTCAATATAGTGTTCCCTTTTCTTAGCTTTATCATGACTTTGATGACTGGATCTTTTAATACTTGCTTTATGATTGTTAAATTTTTATAGTTCTGACATTGGACTTTCAGGCTGCTGCTTGGTCGTGTTCATGGGATCTCAACAATTCACATCAAATATATGCTGGGCTGCAGGTTTTAACATTGTGCTTGTTTTCTTGTCCAGATGAAGCTGGGTAGATTGAACTAATCTTTTAAAGTTTTATGCAGAATGGCTCACTTTTGGTTTTTGATTTGCGCCAAACTGCAAGGCCTATGGAATCTGTGAACGGGCTGACAAGCAACCCAGTTCATACCATACACTCTTTACACAATTCAATTGCTCCTTCACGTGTTACAGCCATTCTATCAGCATCCTCAGTTGGCATTTGTCAGTGGAGCTTTGGTGGTTCTGAGGAAAGGTAAGTTGTATCATTTGATTAAGAAATGTAGTTATATGCTTCCTGTGTATATTATCATAACATTATCAAATTCTTGATTCCTTGAGGTTAACAATGTTTTAGGGCCAAAATATAGGTAACTTCCTCTGTAGTTGATTACTCCAATTTATATGCTGTCTGAAAATTTTTGGTTGATTCTTTTGTAGGCCATTTTTGCTTTCGGAGACTGGCTATCAAGGAGTGTGTATTTCTCTTTCTTATTGCCCTATCAGTGATAACATTATTGCTTCATATCGCCCAAGAATCGACTTTCCTAATGAGATGGCATCTTCTCAACCCCTACTGACTCCACTTATCGGACGAGGGGTTCAGGGTTCCCATGTTCATTTGAAGAGAGCTGGAAGCAACAGTTATCAGAAGTTGGGTGTTACATGTGCCAATGTCAATGATATTCGGTTGCCAAGGTCTACAATTATGAACATAGAGAATCATGGGTGTTTGTTTGCATCAGGGGATGAACTTACCGGTGAATTGGTCTTGCAAGAGTTGCCATCTTTTACTGTTGTTCAGCGTCTTAAATTGCCAAAGCATCCTATTCATGATGTGAAGTATGCGCAAGCCTTCAATGGTGGTTTGCTAGGTTGTTTAAGTGAGGATATATTGCAACTATTCAGGAATCGTGATCTAAAATAGGTGAACTTCATTTCTGTAGTTGTTTCAGGTTACCTTTTCAGATGGCAACTGGGAATCTGTTGAAAAGAACACCATTTTTAGTGATGGTAGGCTTAGGGCTATCTGATGGTTGGGAGAGTATTGCTATGATGACTGCCTTGTACATGAGTGCAGGTTTCTGAACGTTCCCAGAGGCGATCAATTCCCATAGTTTACTCGTTCCCTGAATAATAGGGGTAATCCTCAATTTTGTAATAGCTTTTCTAATTTTATTTTTCTTTTTAAACCTTTTTGAGCAAGTGAGCATTCTTTTTTGTCAACTCCATTTGCTTATTTTGTATTATAGTTATACATTGCAATCACTAGATGGTTTAGTTAAATGGAACCTTACGAACAGCTATGTATAGTAACAATATTGTTATATATAGTTGCTAATATCCGAATGTGCTTAATTTGTTTGTGCAATTGTGTGAAATTTTTTTCTTATTCTTCTTTTTTTTTTCATATTATATTTACATTGCAATTGCATAAATTATGTAATCAAGACTGAAATTCCAGGAACTATGAGACGAAATATTCGATACAATTTGAGGAAGGATTCTGACCAGTCTGAGGTAGAAGATACAATATTTTCGTTTTTAGAGGCATTAATCGTTGTCTAGTCTAGACCTCAAAAAGAGGAGAAGTCATTGTATTTTTCAAGGAAAAAGAAAAGAAATCATAATGAATTAAATTATTAGGAAATGCCAACAAGACGAAAGGCCCAGTGCCAAAGATCTGGACTTTTGCTTGATCGCATATTTTTGGGTTTGGGAACATTCTATCATTTTCATTCTGTCCATTTTAAACTTTGAGAGTTGTAAAGCTCCTCACTAACGACCCCATGCTTTTCATACTTCCATTTAGCCAACATGGGGTCTTTCTTTTGAATTATCGTTGTGCAAAGCATCTCTAATTGCATTCATTACTCTATGGATAATTGCCATGATCAAGACAACAAATTCATGTTTTTTTCCAATCATCGTTCTATCAGTTGCAGCTATTATTTAGCGTTAGTGTCAAGCTTGTTTTAGATTATTTGCTAGGTTGCTGGCTGGCCGCCTTTCTTGATTAGAAATTGAGTTGAAAATTGCATTAAATCAAATGCTCAAAACCCACCAATACAATGCCCTCAGGAATCTTTTTCCTTCCATCTTCATCCAGCTTGATCGAAAGAAAAAAAGAGCTGTCAGCTTTACAAGGCCTAATATGTCATGTAGTAAAGCAACAGAGAAACAAAAGAATGACAACAATCATCCTCTTATTGGTATTGAAGCTTCTGCAAATATATAACAAGGCAAACTATGACAGGTGCTTTTGGGAGTTGCAGTTTGCAGAAACAAACTCTGGAGCTCTCAACTTTTTTTGCTGATTAGGCCAAATCATTTTTCAGTCTAATGAAATGGATGAGTAGAGAAAAGAAAACAGTCAGGTTACAAAAGGGCAGAGTGAAGTTGACTTGGGGTTGGGGTATCCAAAACTTTGTCACTGTTGATTCACAAGTTTTTACTGGTTTTTGTCATGTGCCAGCATTATTAATATTACCACTTACCGGTAGTAGTCGTAGTAGTATTTTTCTGCAATTTGTTTTTGGTGTACTTCTTGGATTCCCCATAAATCTATTGAGTCATTCATGGGTTTTGTGCCCTAATGAATAATTGATCATCATATTCTAACATGATCTCGTTTTTGATCGACCCATGTTTCATATGCTTCCAAACCAGGAAGTATCAAGAAGAACTGAAGTGCCCCAACTTTCATGGCCCTCACTCATTTCAGACACAGAAATTCAATCAAATTTTACTATATATTAAGAAAAAAAATAATAACAAAAAAAAAAAAAACTTTTGCCTTTATTGAGAAATGAAAATTGAAACAACACACTCAAACCCCATGACCCCATATCTTTGGCTCCTTTATCATCCCATTCTCCCATCTCTTATTCTATAGAAATTTTTTTTCTTCCTTCGTATTTTTCCAAGCTGATATACACTCAAGAGAGCGCCACGCACACCAAAAATACAGGAATTCTTCTTCTTTCCTCTTCTCTTTAGGAGCCTTGGACTCTCAGCCACCCTTGCTTTAACATTTGTCGGCAAGTGGGACCCATCTCAAGACACCAAGAAAAAAAGTGGACAAATAGTAAAATTCTTTCACGAGAGAAGTAAACATTTAAACGAACTGTTACTAAGTTCACTAGCTCCAACATTCTGGAGTTAAGGCATGGTTCCTTTTGGGGTCCCTGCAATAGTTATAGACCATATGGTATCTTTGAACCCATCTCATTGCTCTATATTGTTGGCTGGTTAGGCCGCCGGACAGGGAAGGCGAGGCAGAGACCGGCCGGCACCAAGCCGGTGCATAGGCGGAGCAGCCACTAGCTTTAAAATTGGTGTACTTTGCAACAAATGGTTGGTATCTATAATCAGCCTTGTATTTTCCATCTTCAGTTGCCCATGATGAGGCATCCCATATTGAACCATACACCCACATTGGCCTTAGAGGAAATGTTGCAGCGCTCTTCCTTGGATACCTCCTTATGGGCACATCATCCACTAGAAATCTGATATATATATATATATATATATATCAGATAAATCAATAAATATAGCATCATCCAAACATTGCAAGAATTATTTCATGCATGTGATCTACTTTTGCATTGATATTTCCCCTGTTTAAATCACTTGACCAATTATTAATAGTTATAGAAGGATTATTATAATCTCCTGACTTTTCTGCATGATCACTTTGAGAAAGGAAATCACCAAAATGTTCACTATTCAAGTTCTAAATTATTGAACCCTGAAAAAGCAACAACACTTTACAGCCAATAGTGACAACTCCACATCCTCCCCAACACCCATCAATTCCCAAGATATTTTTTATAGTTTTCCTATTAGACATTATAATATGGCTGGTGGTCATTCTTAGTTCAACATTAATTCACGGTAGAATATTAGACCACAATGTTCATAAACATGATTTTAGCATTGGCTGGTTTCTAGATACTTACATGATCTCTTTAGGAAGCCAAAGAATGGCATAGTGGTGAAAGTCTTGGGTTGGATCAAACCAAAGATGAAACTTCATTTCCCTTCCAATGATTTTTCCATCTCCACTCCCTCTGATATACACATTGGTCTGTAAAGTATAAGGCTTCCCAAATGTAGTTCCAAGGAACTCTATGTCCACTTCATCATGGAATCCTGGATGAGCTTCATTGTTTGATAGCTGCCATTTTTATGATCATTTGTTGATTAGAGAGCAGCTGGAAAACCTTATAGTTTCAAGAAGCTTTACAACAGAGCAACTGAAATCAGAACAGTGCGTTAAGGAACAAATGTAGTGAGAAATTATAGGTTAGTTCAATTCTCACATAGAAAGCTGTTATGACCCCTGCGGTGTAACCAGGTTGGACCTTAATAGAGGCTCCAAAATAACCAGAACGAAAAGGACGAACTGACTTGAATCCACTTCCTGTTAATCAAATAGAAGCAATAAAATAAGGAAAAAGATCAGATTGAATATCCCCATCATCTAAAAACTAAAAAATCATAATCAGATGAAGGGAAGGTATTGATTAATATAAGCTAATAATACTTAGTAAAGACCTGAAGTTCTGTCAAGCCAGATTGTTAATGCATTTTGGTCTACACTTTGATGACCAGGACCCCAAAGATTTCTAAACCCATTATTAAAGCTCATAGACCTAAATTTAGAGCTTGGCCAGTAGCCAGGAGAAGGTGGCCAGTCTGCATTGGTTGAAGGAAACAACAGAATGAGAAGAAGTGAGAGAAAGAGAGCCATGAATAATGAAAGAGGGAAAGCAAAGGTGAGAGAAAGAAACTCAATGGTGAAAGTGGAATGATTGGGAGTGTATAAATGCTTGGGTGTGACTTGTGAGAGAGAGAAAGCAATGGGACAAGCGGTGTACATGGAGGAAGAGTGTGGCAATGCAATTTGATATATAAAAAAAAAGATAAGTGGGTCCCCAAGGGGAGAGAGCAAATGAGGAAGCTGATGAAAGGGTAAACAGGCTCAAAACTAAAACGGATTTCTCATAAATATGGAGATAAACAGGTTTAAGGGTGTCGCATTTACCAACTATAGTTCCTGGAAAGTAGAAAAGTACGTACAAAGTTTTTTTTTTCTTCCCCAGTCACCAACTACTTCCCTTCTCATTCATTATGAGAAAAACTGTTAGCTTGGCTTATGGTTAGAAAACTAGCAGGAAAAGATGATCAGATCAGTCAGATGCAGAAGGGTAGATGGGTATCTCTTAAATGTGTTCTTTTTTTTTTTTTCTTTTTCCGCAGGATATTGGGCTATTCGGTTCTTTTTCTCTCATTGAATGCTATATGCATCTATGTCTCTCATCCTTGAAAGCCAACATCCATTGTTTTTCTTTACCATTCCTCTCTTCTAGTGTGCTGTCCTTAGCTATGGAGGTTTTAGCTAGTGGGTCGCATTCTGATTTTTGGTCAATTTTTTGAATGAAAATGTGAGTAATAGTGCTTTTTGAACCTCTGAACTTAAATGGAGTGGGTCACCAGCTATCCTGTCTGGGGCCCTGTGTTCGATCTTGATTACTGATTGAGAATTCAGATAACTTCAGCTAAGTGTACTTATTATCTACAATGAATCAGTAATTTGTTGCAATAAAAAAAATTAAATCAGATGGAACTTGCCCATCCTTTCTAGTAGAATTGTCATTTTCCAGCTAGTCCTCACGTTTCTATATTTCTATGTCAATGAAAAACACAGCAAACGGACTGCTTTATCTGCCTAAAGTGATTGATAATGACACTGTTTTCCGATACTCCTGTAATTTTTTTGCGATATTCAATATCGGATGAAGAAAGATTGAAAGAATCTTAAAAACTCTGCCATTTTTAGGACCATTAGTAACTAAAATCAATATAGTAACTAAAATCAGGATCTCAAGTACATGTATACATATCATAAACATGCACACTTCTCCTTTTCTATGATAAAGAAGGTAAACACAGGCAACATATTCTACCCATTGAGTATTTAATAATACAGATACATGTGACAATCTGAAAACAAATACTTTGATCACATCACTGTATTCAAAGTCTCCATTTGGGAGTGCAGTGAGTATGCTCCCACCGCACCAAATGATTCATTTCAAATTGGACACTATCTTACTGTCTACAACCTACGTCTTTGTCATCAGGACCAGCATCCCAATTTGTACGTAGGTTGGGTATCCAATTTGATTGACTCTATATAGAACTGAAAATCCCCATGTTTAAAACAAAACTATAATACAATGAACGGTGGTCCAAAAAATGTGATGCTATTTTATATATACGTGCCTGCATAAATGTCTATGTGCCCACACGGGATCACAAAATTGCGATCTTATAAATAAAATTTCCTATATTGTTTTTCAATTAAAATAGCAACACATAAATTTGGTTATCCCACATAAATGGATGCAAGAAGACTTGGTTACGGATCAAAGCCATTTAATTTGGCTTTTGTCCTTATTATATGAGCTTTTCTCAACAGCTCTTTTATGAACTTTGATTTGGTGGACCATTGGCTTTAAGAAATACATATGATCAACGTAGACCGTAAATTCACTTTTTATTTTTTATTTGTCAAATACATATATAGTCTTGAAATAGAGCTCCTTTCATCGACCTATAATTAAGTTAATTATAATAGTATTATAAGAAAATGAAAAGAAAGTCACAATTGGAGGTAAAACTAAACCCTAATTATGGTTAAATACCGTACCAGAGACATAATTATTTCATGGTAACCATATTTTTCTATGAAAAAATGAATGCTTTATGTTGATGCAACGATTGTTGGACTGGTTCATGTTATGAATTATTCTGTCTTGGAGACCGAATGTGATCTCCTTAATGGTTTTGTCCTCTAAGAGAAAGTGCTTCAAGAGGAAAAAAGTGGTACCTTACTTAAAAAACTATAGTCCAATTTTGATTATTAGATATGAAATCCTTTTTCTCGTCAACATTAGTCTTTCTAATCAAGGACTGGCCAGTGGACTGTGTTCTATGAGGAACGGGTGTGGATTCTCGGCTTTTAAACTGAAGAATTTACGTCGTGGTTGTTGGAGGTCTAATTACAGCAGTGGAATTATGTCTTGCATGGTTGCTGGAGTTGTTTTGTTTCTCATCATCCGATGCTGCCACGGACATTCTAGTTGTCTTTCTGTTAGTTGGCACAAATGATGCTGTGGGCACGAAATTGGTGAGTCTTCACAATGGTGAACTGATCAGTTTTGGTGGACGTAGTGGTGGTTTTTCCACCATTTTAGTCTTTGCTGCTTGTTTAAGAAATGGTCTAGTAGAAGCAGCAGCAACGAGAGCGCCAACTAAGCTTAACACATGTACATATGGTGTTTCTCGAGGTAATCCGGGGGTCTCGGGAGCGGGTAACTTGATTAGATCGCACACAGGTGGCTGGCTTGTTGGGCTTTATGGCACATTTGGGTCACTGTTTTAATATTGTTGCGGAGTTGCAAGCTGCTAGGTTTGGAATATTATTCGCTTGGAGTTAAGGTTTTAAACATGTGGAGTGTGAACTTGATGCTAAAGTGGTAATTGAGTTGATAAATGGTGCTGATATTGATTTGCATCCTATGGGAATTTGATATTTGGGAGATTGGTCCCACACTTTTAATTATGCATGTTAACTTTTTTACCCAAGCTTTGGCTAAAGGGTAAGTGAAATATGAGCTAGATTTTGAGATACTACCATGGATTCCGTCGAGTTTTATAACGTCGTTTCTTCAGGCTGATGAGCGATCAGTTGTTGATTCCCAGGAAGCTTTAAAATTTCTTAATTAGTACTGTTTCTTTTATATTCCCTTTTGTAAGCAACAAAATCAAAATGGAAAGTTTAAACATAAATTTAGTAAAAGTAGCAAACAATGTAAAATATAAAAATTTAACTATTAACATGAAAAGTAAGAGATTTGATCTCACGAACCTCCTAATAATAGTGTCCGACAATGCCACGTGAATTTGAAGGATCTCCAAAGATAAAAATCAAACAGCTAGCTAGCTTTGTCGTCGTCAATTTCTGACTTTTAAAATCCACCCTTTTCCAATTTCATTGCAATTAAAACATTGGTTATTCCTGTCTAGCTAGGCCTTTGAGGTCACCACTCAACTTGAAAAGGACTAATTCTTAGCTAGTGTTGTGAAAATTCCAGTTGCTTGAGGCCTCCTTCTGGGACGAAAATATTGACAAAATCACACACCTAACGAAAAAAAAATAGTGCCACTATTGTGTCGGTAATTGCTAAAGGGAAGAAGCAATGCTGCATGGATCATCCAGGATGGCAATGAGACTGGGACCCATTTCGCCGACAAATCTAGGATGCTTATGTATGATGTGGGCAATTTTTATCATAAATAAAACTTAGGCTCTTCCTCTTGGAGATCATCTAAGATTTTTTTAAATAGTAATTTAGGACAAGTTTGTGAATAATTACATGATTTATAATAAAATATTGAATTTTTAATTTTAAAGATAAAAATTTATATTTTGATAATTTTAATTATAAAAAACACTTAAGACAACTTTTGATTCCATTAGCTTTCTTTTTCACTCTTTTTTATTACGTGTATCTTTAGGCTTCATTTGATTATGATTTTTATAGGAACGAAGTTTACCTAAAAACCCTTACTTTAAAAAAGTAAAATTTACCATTAATCACCAACAACCTTATATGATTTACAATCATTACCATAAAATCATCAGCAATAACCATATCATAAAGACAAAAACTGACTCATAATAATCATTAATTTCATGAAGAAATACATCATTTCAATTACATTCATATAATGTGAAGAACTGGGTAAAATATGATGCTTAAGGCTGAGAAATTTGTAGTGCTGGTAATCAGCTGTTTGATTAATATTGATGGGATCCAATCTTAAAATAACAGAATGGTGTGATAAAAATCTCTTTATACCAACCACTCGAATGAAGCTTGAGTACATTTTGGATCAACATTCAAATGTTCTTCAATATGAATTTAAGATAACAATCATTTAAGTAGTTAATTATTACTGGTTATTACCAATGGGAAAAGTGAATTTTTTTTTCATATTTTTAATGTTGATTATATATATATATATATATATATATATGCAGCTTAGAATATATATAGGATACCGAGAACATCAAATACAGTTCACTAGTAAAAGATTTGCTAAAGATATTATAAAAGACTGAAAACTTCTTTTTTTTTTTTCTTCAGGTCTGTCTGAATTATTGAAGAAGAAAAAATGCCTTAGCCGACACAAAATGTTTCCTTTCCTCTTTGGCAATTTCAAAGTTGTTTCCAAGAGAATTTAAAATAAAACAATATAACTTAGACAAAGATTTATTATTCACTAAAATTAGATAAGGCTCACTCTCTCTCGCCTACTTCTCTTTGGGGTCTGAAATCTTAGATTACCTGAAATCCTACACATAGGTCGAGTGTCCTTTAAGCGACCATAATTTTCCCTTGCGAAGGGTACGGGTGGATACAGTAACGAGGGGCAGAGATGGCGGTAACGTCCTTTTTAGTCCCAAGTCCTCTATTCTTGACCATCTACCTTTTAGGGAAGGAAAAGAATATGGACTTGACCTTATAAACTAGCTGCCTCAAGCCTCTTATTCCATCCGCATACTTTTAAGGGATGAAATAGAAGAGGGACTTGACCGCTTCGTTGTTCTTTGCTTTCTTTCAATCGTTTGTTATCTTTCTTTTTTGTTTTCTCTTCCCTTCCTAAACTATTAAGCCTAAAAACCAAATCCCTCGTATTCTAATTTTTTAGAGATATATAATTTATAATATACTAGTGAGTTAACTCGAAGAAAATACGTATTGAAATGACTTAATTTTTGCCACTTCAATAGCTTATAAATAATGATATTGCACTTTTTTTTTTCATCCAAATGTCAGCATATAATAATGCAATTAGTGGTGATGTCATTTCACTGAGATTTTTCTAATTTGGACTTTGACTTGATCAGATTTATTATATTATGGTGTCTGAGTAAGTTTAGTTTCACGACTCAAGTCATATTAATTCACAAAAATTAAATAAAATCATAAATCAAATAATAAAATA